TTTTTCATTGTGATTCAGTTTCTCGACTTGTTCAGACATAATTTTCAATTCAGCTGTTATATTTGATGCTAATCTTTTAACATATAGACTTTCAATTTCAAGTTTCTTGTTACTGAATTCTAGCTTCTTTGATGATTTTTTTTAAGTAATAAAAGAACGTTTAACCAACCATATATAAAATTTCAGTCTCTGCAATAGACTGAGTCTGTACTAGAGGTGTAATCACACTAAGTTAACTATGTATGACGAGTTTGACATAGAAGACATTTGAATAAAAAAATCGAACATTAGTCAAATGACATCACGCTATCTTGCTCTACCTACTATGTATTGTCACTCCTTGCCGAGATCTTTCTTCTAATCCTAGTCACTTGCTTAACATACAATTAAATAATCTTGACACATTTTACGACTTTTCCTATTGAATATGGGTGTAAGTAAGCGGTGTCGGCTCGACAGAAATTTGAGGTTTCTGAGGAGCTCAAGCTCGGCCCCATTTGTAGTTGTATATAATAATAATAATAATAATAATAATAATAATAATAATAATAATAATAATAATAATAATAATAATAATAATAATAATAATAATAATAATAATAATAATAATAATAATAATAATAATAATAATAATAATAATAATAATAATAATAATAAAAAATAAATAAATAAATAAATAAATACAAATACATATAAAAAATTATTAATTTTTTTTTATTGTAGTAAATAATTTAGTGTAATAAAAAATAATAGTATTAAAAAAAAGGCAAAATGAGTTGAACTCGAGCGACAATCTCAACTCAAGTTCAGCTCAGAAAATAAAAGCTCTAACTTAAGTACGAAAAATTTGCCAATCTAAATTCGAGTCCCGGTCATTTACAACCCTACTTTCCCCTCGTAATAACTAGCTAGATATTTTGCGCCTTCTCGCTCTTTGTAAAGCAACATCTTGAATTACATATTTTCATATTTTTTGGCTGTATTAGATCTAGGTGATGTATTTAATTATTCTTTAATGTTAATTAGATAAGATATCGATGATGAAGTCATCCAACTATCTCAATACATTAATTTTGAGTTTAGAAACATGGATCACTTCACTAAATATCATTATCCAATTTTAAAACGCACAAAAGAAAAAAAGAGAAAAGGAAAAATGTGGGGAGTGGAGATTGTCATAAGCTAATTGGGCATTTTTAATTTTTTTTTAATGATAAAGTAAACATTAAATAAAACCCAACGCAATGAGGTCCATTCACTCGACCAATAACTTGTAAACTGCATAAAAGATGTGAGAAAATACTGCCAGTTCGAAATTGAACAAGATAATATCGCAATATCCTGCTCAACCAATTATACAACTCAGAAAATCAATGTCAACTCACATGTTAGATGTTAGAGCAAGTGGTCTATTATTTTTTATTAAGCATGAATTAATTATTATAAGATTGTGAATGTGTTTAAAACGTGATTCATGGTGCTTTTCTTGTCCATAGGGAATTTTATATTATTTTTTTAATAAAGCAATTTAACCTTTTCATAAAAAATAAAATAAAAGGTGAACTCGAAGATAGTGACTAGATGAGGTGAATTAATTTCATCATAATGGCTAGGTGCAACTTGATGAATTTGTAAAATAACAAGTAGATATATTGATTGATTCAAATACATTTAATAATTTGAAGAAAATCTTGTTTTCAGCATAGATAAGATGCTTTACAAACAAGTTGGCCTGCACAATTGAACTTGGGGCCCTTAATTTAGTGTGTCATAAACAAGTAATCACTTGCTTTTTTTAAAGATAACTCATTCATGGTTAATTTATCTTATTAATTTTGGGAAATGATGATTTTTCCTATTTGTTTTTTAATTTTTAGGTAAACTTAAGTTTTTTTTTCACTTTTTAGATAGCTGGCGACGGGTGTCAATATTAAGAAGTTGACGATCAAATAGTGTTTATCTTTTAGGTTCAATGACCATCGTCTGAATTTTCATGGTTTGGATTGGTTGATCAGGATTGTCTTCATACTGG